TGGGGGGGGGGGGAATCGGCTAAAACAAATTCAATCCGGCACGTATCGCGCCACTCGGTCCGTCTCTTGTCGTTTGCTTTCTCCCCTAGCCGGCTCGTCCGTCTCCTGCCCCCCTCCCGCCCAATTGGTTGGTGGCTTGTGGTTTTGTTTGAGCGCCCGTTCTCGGCTGGCCTCTTCTTCCTTCTCGTGCCAGGAGGTCATGAACCTCTCAGCTCCCTGTGGCACCGCCGCATGCCAGGGTACTCCCCCCTTTACCTTCGCGGCTTCCGTCCACTTTAACGTCGGTGCCGTGTGTTTCGGTACCGGGATTCCGAAACAACATGGATCGGTTTTCGTAGATCCGTGGTCGGCCCCGAATGCCTTCAGGTCGTCGAGCACACACTTCGGCCAGTTCTGTTCCTGTCCCTCCCTACGTCGCTTCTCCCTCCCTGCCAGTTCGCCGAACATCAGTCGTTTCGGGAGTCGCCCGTCTGGCTGCCTTGCCAATGCCCCCGCGAACAGTAGGTGTCGTTGTCGGATCGTGGCTTCAACACTCTGGCATTCGACCCTCTTCAGCGTCTGGGCGTAAGAGAGCTGCCGGTAGGTGTCTTTCTTGCGCTTTTACCCGATAACTCGAAGGAGCAGTCGGTGGTGTATCGACGGCAGCGTCTGATAGTGGTCGCTGAGTGGTGACCATGTCATGCAGCCGTACAGCAGTGCCTCCGTCGCCTCTGCCTGGAGCAGGCGGATCTTGAGTAGGAATGGCGCTTGCGGTCTGTCGAAGAGCTCCCGGCCATATCGCCTGAGGCACGCCCACTCTCCTTTGCTCCTGTAGTTGATCTCCCGGGTGAGGTCGCCATATTCGTTGACGAGGNGGCAGCGTCTGATAGTGGTCGCTGAGTGGTGACCATGTCATGCAGCCGTACAGCAGTGCCTCCGTCGCCTCTGCCTGGAGCAGGCGGATCTTGAGTAGGAATGGCGCTTGCGGTCTGTCGAAGAGCTCCCGGCCATATCGCCTGAGGCACGCCCACTCTCCTTTGCTCCTGTAGTTGATCTCCCGGGTGAGGTCGCCATATTCGTTGACGAGGCCACCAAGGTACCGGAACTCGGTCGTCTGGGCGTGGCAGCTTCGATGGTCAGTGGTGGAGGCGGGCTGTGATGTTGAAGTCGGCTTGTCCTTCGCGCGCATCAGGAGCCTCTCCGCCTTCTTCTCCGACACCGTTAGCCCAAACTCCCCAAACACCTCAACGATGATGGTCATCATTCTCGCAAGTCCTTCTGCAGACGTCGATACGACGCCGGCATCATCGGCATACAGCATCCCCCATACTGCCCTCCGTACTCGGTCAAGGGGTGTCTCCTCCCCCCCCCCCGCTTCCGTTTTCCCCTCCTCCAAGCACACCAGGCTCCGTAGAACAACATCATCCTCGCTGAATCGGATGACAACGACCTCGGGGACCTCGGCGAACAAGGTGTTGAACAGCAATGGGGATAGCACACATCCTTGTCGCAAGTCCTTTGTCGGGAAGAACCAGTCCGATAGTTCTCCGTCGTCCATGCGCACCCGGGCCCGCATTCCATCGTGGAATTGGCGGATGACTTCGATCAGCTTCGCGGGAATTCCGGCCCTGGCCAGCACCTTCCATAGCATCTCTCAGTCCACCGAATCATACGCCTTGTTCAAGTCTACGAAGCACATGTAGAGCGGCACTTTATTTCTCCGCCCCAGCTCCTGGAGGCGGCGCACGACGAACAGCATGTCGACGGTGGATCGCCCGGGTCGAAATCCGCACTGTTCCTCCGGGAGGATGTTGTTGGCTTCGCAGAAGGCGCTTAGACGGTTGGTGATGATCTTGATGGGGACCTTGCCTACGTGAGATAGTAGCGAAATCCCCCTGTAGTTGTTACAGTTGGACCGGTCACCCTTCTTGTACAGCACCTTGATGGTTGCATCCTTCCACTCTCGCGGAATATCTCCTCCGTTCCACACCTTGACGAGGATGGTATGGAGGTGTCCCAGGACGAAGGGTTCGTCGTCATCGATCTTGAGCAACTCGGCAGGGAGGGAGTCATGGCCGGGTGCCTTCCAGTTCTTGAGGCCTTTCGTTGCCCGTGCCACCTCCTCGAGTTCTGGCACATCTCCCAACCGTTGAGTGTCACGTGTCGCTGCCCGCTGCGTCACTCATTCGATGATGTCTGGGTTCAGGGTGGGGGATTTGGTGTTGAGTAGGGTGCTGAAGAATCTCGCCCATCGCTGGAGGATGTCGTCCCTGTTCCGGAGCAACACGCCGTTCTCATCCGCGACGAACTGCTGTCCCCCCGCTTGTCTCCCGCTGAGGCCCACTGATCTCTTGAGGTGTTGGTACAGTCCTCGCATGTCGCGATCTTTGTAGATTTCTTCGAGCTCAGTCACATATCCGTCCAGGTGGGCATAAATGCCCGTTTCGACTGCTGTAGCCACTCCCTTACACGCTGCTTTGAGAACCCTCCACGTCGCTGAGTTCCAGTTGCCCCTCATCGCCCGGCGCGCTTCCCGACGTTTGGTAAGGGCCTGCTCCAGCGCTGCTCGCGTCTCTGGGGTCTCACACCACTCCTGCGTGCGGCGTCTCCGCGGTTCCTCCCCCAGGGTCGTCCGCGCTGCGTCGAGGAGAGCATTGGTAAAGTCGGTCGCCAATTCCGCGGCGGTTGTTGTTCGCTCGTCCAGTCGTGTGTCGAGGTTGAGGAACCGATAAATCACCGCATACCATGCTGCTTCGAACTGCAATTCCCGTCGGTTGAATTGCTTCTGTTTCGGTTTAGTCCGGACTG